CAATTTGTTTAGTGAAATTATTTTGAAGTTGTTCTATATTTCTTAAAAATACCACCTGATATTGTCAGTCCACACTTATGAGTTAGTAACCACAGCAAAAATATATTAGTTTCTGTAAAAAAAAAAAAAAAAAAAAAAAAAAAAAAAAAAAAAAAAACTTTTACTAGCCGTGGTACTTTTGTCCCATACATTAAATTTTTTATTTATTTATTTATTTATTTTTATTATTATTATTATATATTTTTTGATAGCACTTTACAATTAGGTTCCATAAGTCAAGCAAGGGGAATCAGCAAGTGTTGTGCTTTAACCTCCCAGGGCTTAGTGGCCACATATGTAGACAGTACAGTTTAGCTCTTAAGTGGCTATTTTAAATACTTTGAATGTTTATATGTTTTTACTGTGGTGTAAATTCATTTTATACATCTTATATTCATTTTATATACTCATCTGTTTGAATTATAAAGGTCTGTTCTTTTATTCTTACATGAACATACTGTTTAAGTTAGACCAAGTGTGAACACTTTAACATCTGTTTATCACCAGACAAGATCTAGATAAGTACATGGTGATTTAACAAGGTACATGATCGTTTGGGAGGTAAGAAAGAAACATAGAAGACGTTTGAGCACTCATGTAACTGTGATTTATCCTGTATGTCACTGATGACCTTGTGGGTATTACAAACTCGATAAAAAGAGAATGCACTCTGTTTCTGCGTCTCACTCTCTGCAGAAACTGTTATCTTCTTGACCACTGACCAGCCTCCTTAAAAAAACTGCCACTACATTACATGAAATGTCTAAAACATAGTTTTTAACTGTCCAAAATGGGAATTGTTTAGTTTTTTACTCTCTGATAGTCAAAACACACATAAAAAAAATAATAATAATAAATAAAAATTATATGTTTTATATGCATTTAAAAAACAGTCAGGTAAAAGTGTTTTATTTAAATTTGGACTATATAATTTTTCTCTAAAAGTACATCACATCAAAAGATGATACTTAGGTTTTATTCTAATTAGGTTACAATAAGCCCAAATAGCAAAGAGAAATAAAAAAATGCATGTAAAAAAACACCTTGGGCCTTAATAAACGTTTTTAGAGATGCAGAGGCTGTGTTGGGCATTAAAATGTTTTAACACTTAGAAAGCCATTGATCATCTCACTTATTTAGTGATTCTGTCATTTTTCAAGTTAAAACTCATATTTCTCTTTGCTGCACAGCATTTGGCAGACTTTTTGTCACCTATAACATGCTAGACCCCGCTTTTAGGTCAGTGACAAGCAGATCATACGTGCATGTAAATGACTGGCATATACAATAGCTCATAGTAACATATGTTAGCTACTTATTCGCAAATAAGTTTGAGCATATTTATGCGTTAATTGATTCTCACTGGGGGCGACACAGTGGTACAATAGGTAGTGCTGTCGCCTCACAGAAGGAAGGTTGCTGGTTTGGGCTTCGGCTAGGTCTGTTGGCGTTTCTGTGTAGAGTTTGCATGTTCTCCCTGGGTTTGCGTGCGTTTCCCCTGGGTGCTTCGGTTTCCCCCACAGTCCAAAGACATGCGGTACAGGTGAATTGGATAAGCTAAATTGTCCGTAGAGGATATGTGTGTGTGTGGATGTTTCCCAGAGATTGATTGTGGTCGGAAGGGCATACGCTGAGTAAAAACGTGCTGAATAACTTGGCGGTTTATTCTGCTGTGGCAACACATAGTTTCTTTGGTTACTACTAATGTTTGAGAGAAGCGCATTACATTTAACTGACTAAAATAACAACCCCAAATCAGAAAAAATTGGTACAATAAATAAAACGCATATAAAATAAGAGAGAATAAGTGATTTCTAAATTTACTTTGACTTGTATTACACACAGACAATACAACAGTACATTATTTTAATGTGTTCCTCATGACTTTTTGTTCATATTATCAGTGTTTTTTGTTTTAAATGAAACACAATTTAAATTTGGTTCTTGCAACGTATTTCAAAAAAGGTTGTAACAGTAAAGCATTTTCCTCTTTGATATGTTGCCATTCCTTTTCACTACACTTAACAGACGTTTAGGGACTGAAGTGATGAAGTGTTTCAGGTGTAATTTTGTCCCATTCTTCCTGCAAATGGGAGACAGCACAGGGTCATTGTTGTCGGATTTTATGCTTTAAAATGTGCCACACATTCTCCATTGGAGACAGGTCGGGACTGCAGGCAGGCCAGTCAAGTACCTATATCTTCTTCCTCTGCAGCCAGGACTTTTTTGCATTGTCTTGTTGAAATATGCATGGGCGTCCCTGGAAAAAAAGGCAGCATATTGTGCTCCTAAATCTCTTTTCAGCATTAATAGTGCCATCAAACAGGTGCAAGCTACCTTTGTCAAGGGCACTGACACAACCACATATATACTGATACAAATACTGATTCATCTGACCACAGTACACTTTTGCACTGTCTGATGGTCCACCTACAATGCCTTCGAGCCCGGAGAAGTCGATAGCACTTCTGGACACTGTTAACATAGGGCTTCCTTTTGGCACATTACAATTTTCACTGATATTTGTAGATGTAACTATGCATTGTAGTACTTGACAAAGGTTTGAGTCCTGAGCCCATGTGGTGATATTGCTTATAGATGAATGACTGATAATGCTTCATGCAGTGCTGCTTTTACACACAGTAATTCCTCCAGATTCTTTGAATAGTTTAGTAATTTTCTGCACTGTTAAAGGTGAAATATCTAAATCTTTTCCTATGTGTCTTTGAGGATCATTGTTTTTAAACATTACAATGATTTTCTCGCGTATTTGTTGGCAATTCTCTGCTCATCTTTGTTCTTAAAGGACTTGACCTTTCTTGGATTCTGCTTTTGTACCAAATTATAATTACAATCGCCTGTTGACATCACCTGTTTCAAATCACATCATTTAACCAGTTTACATTTTTACAAGCCCTAAATTGCTCCTGACAAGACAATGGCTGTTACTCGATTCCAAGAAAACAGAGAACGGACTTGTGTACTTGTGGGGAGCGGTCTTGCCAGGTGTTCTCGGAAGAGTGAACTCAGGAGACCGCGAGGGCAGAGAATGCGTCCTTTGAGAAATGGGATTCTTCGTTCTTCCTGATGGTCACGTGACCTTCACGCGTTTTTAAATGGAAATTATTTAAACATTACAGCATTCATACAATGATTTATTGTTTTTCCCCTCTTCAAAATATATACTTTGCATAAAAAGATTATTAATATACTCTGCACAATATAAATAAAACAGATTTTAATACGAAGTTCAGCAAACAAACACCCTTAACGTGTTTATTCCTTTATTAAGATGTCCATGGTAATGTTTACTTTCACCGTTTTATTTAGAGAAACTCCTGAGGTAAATAAATTATATCTCTGAACTTTAATAATAAATCTAAATAAAATGCTGCGCTTCCCACCTCCAGTCGCAATGACTTCTGGGACTTCCAGAGCGAGTTCGGTGCTCAAGTCTGCATCAGTGCGTCCTCGATATCAATAACACATCTGGGAAGTTTTACACGTCCTCCGTACTTGCGGTCTTGAGTATTGGAACTGAACTTAGGCAGCTGATGATGACGTTGCACGAGAACACGAGGACGCAAGACCGCTGAAGAACGCATATTGAGAAACAGCCTTTGTGTTGCAAGTCTGAATGACACAAAAGGATGTATATTTAAAAATGAAATGAAGTAGATCAGGCAAAACATGAAATATTTTGTGGTCTTTTTGTCTGCAATGAAATACAAGTCAAATTAAACTTTAAAATCACTACTTTCTTTTTTTTTATGTGCATTTTCATACTGTCCCAACCTTTTTCTGAAACACATTGCACAGCCAATCAGAACTAATAATTCCAACCAACCATGGAATAATGTAATTGTATTTACTAATGCGAATAAACTGTGGATGATACATTGCAGCATTTATTCATCCTTGTTAACTTTAAAGATAAAGTCATACATTGTTAGTTCTTGTTAATTCAAAGAGTTAACTAGGACAACTTTGTATTTTAATAATGCATTAGTAAATGTTAAAATAGGATTAAATGCGGTTTACGTACTGTCCATTCTCAGTTCATGCTACTGAATAAAGTAATATTAATTCAAACTTACTTTTAAAGTGTCAATTTTCTTAATTTTTTTCCAAGTAGTTCTAAATGGACAGCAGATAAATAGAGTTGAGCGATGTCGACAAATTCAAGATGGATGATGGAACCGTCGTCATAGGCAGAGGTGAATTAACTTTTCATGAATAATTATTTAATTCATAACGAATTACTTATTTGTAGCCTACCGTTTCAACTACCTGACCCGCATGGTCTTTGTTTTACCCATAAAAAAATTATAAATAAATAAAGTTGCACACAAATTACCACCTGTCAATCACTTTTTCTGCGGGAGGTTGGCCGGTAGAAAAGGTGCACAAGCAACAGTATCTGAGGTTTCACTAAAATTACTGAATACAAGTGTGAAAGTGAAAGACTGAAGCATTGTACTGATGCTGTAGCGCATTACCTGGTAAATTCAAAAGACTGAAGAGTTGTTAGATATAGACAAAACTAATTAAATATCACATTTAACAACTATAGTGAGAGGCATTCCAGCAATACATACTTGAAAAACTGTCCAACATGCACTGCTCTCTTGAGCTCAGACAAGCGCATGTGTGTGGCTGTGGTCACGTGATGAGCATTTTCAGTGGACAGAGGCTAAGCTAGGTAAAACTCGGTGAGGATGTGGATCATTTTCGTTCTAAAATGCTATTTTAATACTAAAAATTAGTGTAACGGGACCTGAGTGTGTATTTTTTGCGAGTGGGTTTGCGTCGGGTGGAGGATCGGCGATGCTGGCCCAGCATCGTGTTGTCTATTGGCCATCAGCGATGGATAATGGCATCGTCTATTGGCCCAATCCAACAGAGAACTTCACCGTGACCTAATTTACTCAGACACGCACACACACAAAAAAGGCACATGATTTAATTCCAAAGAGAAAAAAAATAGTTTTAATCCTTGGAGAGACACATTTGCAATTGAACAGCCTGAAAAAAAGAAACATCAACAAGCACAGGCAGGAATTGCACTTCAAATTTTCTTAAAAAATAAAAATTAAACATGAAAAAGCAGTCTTTTTTCTTCAATATATTTCTGTCATAGAAACAATTGCAAAAACTGTACAACAAGCTTTTTACAAAGCATTTCAGGACCTCTGCTTTTTGAGAATGTTCGATTCACATTTGTACACATTCAATAGCCAGATCTGCTACATTTTCAGAAAAACTAAAAAGTCTTGAGACATTAAGACAATAGGCATTGGCTTTAGTTCGTACAAGTCCAACTTCATCCGTCTTCACTGGATCTTTTTAAAAAAGCAAGATTCATCAAATCAGGAGTCTCTGTGTGGGTTTTCACAGTCTTTCACAAGTCTGCAGACACAAACAGAGACAGACAGCTGCTCGCAGAGTCACAGTTCCTCGCGATGGGGCGGACTGTGTGCTTTCCTGGAAAGAATTCAGTCTGTGTCCAAATGACAGGGGTTGGTCCCTTGCTGCCGCGCGTCCTGGTACACCCTAAGGAAGTCCTTGTAGCGTGGAGCGCAGCTGAGCCAGGCCTCTCCGAATCGCACAGTCCCGGTGAAAAGAAACTCGCCGTCCCCTGGTTTAACCCCGCACTGCCTGGACATCTTCACAAAGCCTGTCCAGCGTTTAGCCCGGCCGCCCCCTGACACAAACACTTGAGTCTTCTGTCTATATAGGTGACTTAAGGACACTGTGACTGAGGTCTGTTCATCCTCCTCGGATACACCAAGAATTCTCCCCCGCGCCACTGCAGGAAGACAGAAAACAAAGCATGTCAGACAAACTGCTTTTAAAAATAGAATTGATAGTATTAGGTGTCTCAAAATGCACTCAAGGAATGCACAGTTGTCAAAACTTGATGTTTTTAAAACTGTACCATAACAAGAATAGGTGTTTTAGGTCAACGTTAATAAAAGAAGTGGTTTTCATCCACTTTAAAATGTTGACTTCTCCATTTAGAATATTTTAGAACCTAAGTCTCAAACTTGATTCCTGGAGGGCCACAACTCTGCACATTTTTGCTGATCCAACTAATCATTCCTGCGACCCACCAGGAATTGGGTTTGAGACCATTTGCCCTAGAATGATATAAAATGGGGCTGCATGATATTGGAAAAATCTGATGTTGCGATACTGTTTTTTTTTTGCTGCAATATTTATTGTGATATGAATATCATTTCACCAGATGATTTGAACAGCTCTATTTGGAAAGATTTCATTCTTTTAGATCAACTGGGATGATTAAGTCTTTTTCTAGATATAATTAATTACAAGCAAAAATAAACAAATCAATAATGCTTTATGGTTTTCCTGGGAGTCTAACAGCATTTATGTGCAGAAATTGAACAAATCAAATGTAAAATAACATGGTCATCATTGTATAAATAATACAAAATAAATACAATTTAAAAAATATCTTCATCTTTTAATCTTTAATAAATAATCTAATCCTGTGATGTGGCTGTTAAAAATACAAACATTGTGACATCAATGCTCAAATTATATACAGTTCAGCCCTAATATGAAACCAGTTCTAAAAGACAGTCGTGATTAATTAATGATTCCAATATACAGTTGAAGTCAAAATTATTAGCCCCTCTTTGATTTTTGTTTAATCTTTTTTAATATTTCCCAATTTATGTTAAACAGGGCAAGGAAATGTTCACAGCATGTCTGATAGTATTTTTTTTTTCTTCTGGAGAAAGTCATTTGTTTTATTTTGGCTAGAATAAAAGCAGTTTTTCATTGTTAAAACACCATTTCAAGGACAAAATGATTGGCCTCTATAAGCAATTTTTTTTGACTGAGTTAAGCCTTTAAATGTCCCTTTACCTTAAAACAAGCCAAATAGTTTGCCAGTGGGGTGGGTAAAAGTTTTTGGTTTGAAATATGTGTATTCTACTTTATCCTCTAGCAGATAATGTAACATGTTTTAGGGCAAAACGCAATTTATTTTATTTTTGAATGATCATTTCTGAAAATGTTTCTGATATGTCTACAAAATGCTTCTAGATTTAAGATAGACTATATTATTTGGACTACATTAGGACTAAAATGACACAACAAGAAAATGTTTAAGTTAAGACACATTCTTTGTTTAGGAAAAAAAAAGACAATTGAATGCATCAATCACCAAGTTTGCGATCTGACAAAAAAAAATGAATATATAAGGATGGATGGATGGATGGACAGATGATGATAGATAGATAGATAGATAGATAGATAGATAGATAGATAGATAGATAGATAGATAGATAGATAGATAGATAGATAGATAGATAGATAGATAGATAGATAGATAGATAGATAGATAGATAGATAGATAGATATAATATATGGAATGATATGACGATAGATATAATGATAGAACAAGAGATAGATAGAATGTTAGATTGAATGATAGAAAAAGATATCAATAAAATGACAGAATGGTAGAACAAGAGATATAATAAGAGATAGATAGAATGATAGAATAACAGATAGAAAGAGATAGAAAGAACAATGAAACAAGCTAGGATGATAGAACGAGAGCTAGAAGGATAGAGAAAGACAGAATGAGAGATGGGTAGAACGAGAGATTGAAAGAATAATAGACAGAATAAGAGCAAGATAAAACAACAGACAGACAGATAGAGAACTGAAAAGACTAATAAAGTAAGACGCTGACATTAGGAAACAATATTTACTAGGCCAACATATTTGTCTGTAATATTACTTAGAACTAAAAATAATACAAAAAATACAAACTATTTGTAGGAACTAAAGGGATTATTAAGTGAAATTTAAAATTCAAACAGTGCCAATTGGGAAAGATTCCTTAGGATTGCTTTCAAAATAACCAATAAGGATTCAGATTTCTAAATGGCCATTATAAAACGCATTCAATATTTCCCAAAAGACCTAGCTTACCAAAGTCACTGGTGCAGACGGCCAGCAGGACCTCTGCGTCTGTACACGGTTGGCAGGGAGCTGTAAAGAGATGCAAAAAAGAAATCAGACCAAACACACCCACAGCTTAATGGTTTGTGCAGCAGAACAAGACAGATCCATCACATGTGCCTAATCTAGCATGTTATTTTTAGAAATTGTTTTAACAAACCAACACACAGATCCATCTGCACCCGCCACGTGCTCCCAATACACATCGGACCTTCAAAAAGCGTAATTAATTTCTGCTGCAGATTTATCGAGCATGCAGAAGCCGACTTTATCGTCACGGCTTGTCGGCTTCTAACCAAACAGAGATGTGGGGCGACCTACGAGAAATGGTCCCTCATTAAAAAAAAAAAAAAAAAAAAAAAAAACATCTGTAAAAGGTTGTGTTGGTGAAGAGGAGGAAAACATCTCAACCCTTCCCCCCTCTAGAAAAACACACACTGAGTCTTCACACCCCAACGCAAATGAGATCCAGCTGAGGAGACCGAAGCAAAGATCAGCCACTGCAAGGACTACTAACTCTGAGTGAAACAAAACATCCAAAAGGAGCCTACGCTGCACAGCACTTCCACCTGTGCCAACAACCTAGAGTGACTCCAACACTTTGTAGTATTTTACAACCCATGGCGACACATGACAAGAGACAAACACTGCCTTGCTTTCTGGTCACTGCAGATTCCCTGTGACCGTTTCAAGGCAATCAGCATAACCTAAACACAGGCAGAACCGTGTCAGCTTTGATCAGTGGGTTTTTCTCTGTCCAAATAAATCAGGCTCTTGAGTCATTACAGCCCCCACGTGCAGATATAACCCAGCATGTTTATCTGGAGGGTCTCAAATCCTCAGCCTTGCAGCGAGTAAACGACTGGTTGATTCAGGTGCCTAGTTAGTGGGTTTATGGGTGTTTTATGGTTGTATGAGACTTTAAGTCATATAGGATGCTATACACACTTACCGGCCAAATGTTTAGGTGTCTCTTAGAGCACATTCAGACTTGCAGTTTGTTTCCCAGAGTTATTTTAGTCTGGACTAAAACAGCACTGATATATTTAGTCCTGTCTTGGTCATTAAGACCCAATCTCACAGATAAACAAATATCTGCTGCAAGAAGAAGCGTTTCTGATGCTTATATTAAACTGTGATGGGCAAAATTTCAACTATGATAAGACAAAATGGGAATGCTCAAGCATTCGGTCCCATTTATAGTCACATTTTGAGGCATCATATACTGTTTTTTGCTTGTTTGAATGTTTTCAGCCCATGCCGTCAGGTTCATTTGGCATCATCTGAGCCATTTATGCCATGTACACATCCACAAAAAGATGGGGCTTGTCATACAGATCACAGAGAACACCTAAGTACTAACCTGAATTCTTCCCCAAATCTAACCAATAGTGTTTCCAAAAGCAAATGTAAAGGGGAAAAATGCACATGCGATTATGTAGTTTACCTTGACTTTACATTATTCTTTTTTCTTTTGTGGAACAATGCTTCACTAACTCAAACCTGAGAATTCGGTGTCAGGTTTAAGTATAAAAGGAACTACTGAGCAAACTCGCCACGCCATAAGAATGTTCCACATGGAGAAAGATAGGTGAGGTAAGCTTATTGGATTTAAATCATACTGCACATACATAATAGTTTATTTGTCGCTAATACAGTATGTCCCAGTAAATATCATTGGTGTGAAAAGGAACAAATGCTGTTGTCACACTACCCTGTGGTAGAACTGCACGATAATGGAGTAAAAAAAAAAAAAAAAAAAAAAAAAAAAAAAAACTAGCATTGTGTTTTTATTTTTTTTATTTTGCAATATAAATTGCAATATGAATGCGATTTCACCAAATAAATTGAATCTCTCTATTTGGAAAGAATTTACAATGTTAGATCGGTTGGGATGATTCTGCGGGGAGAGTGCATCTCTATAAAATCTAATAAACAATTTATAAACTTTTTGGGGTCCACACATTTTCGTTGTGGCTTGTGCATTTTCACACATACCAATCTATAAATACATTCAAGAAAAAATTACAATTGAAAAAATGTTTTATCATTTTCCAAGTCTAACAGTATTCAAGTACAGTAACTGAATGAATCAATAAAAAAATCCTGTGATTTTAAATTGCAAATGGTACAATTTGTTAGGCCTGAATGCTTTTAAGGTCATTATACATTGATAGGTCTTTTAAAATGCTTTTAATGTCATTATACATCGATTATACATTTTGATGCCATTGATGACCATGCAAATGATGAATTCATTTGAGTCATTCAGACTCAACATTAAGTATGCTCGCAATGTGACTATAGCTATGATCACATTGTGATATCGATGTTGAAACAATATATTGTGCAACCCAACACTGTACTGCTCATTTTACCTAGAAAATTATGTTTAAAATTATGTTTTTGCAGATTAAGCTATATATTCAACAAAGCAGTGTTGGTTTAATTTTCCTTTGATATGTACTGGAGATCATAAAGAAGTTTATACAAAACAGTTTAAGTCAGAATTATTAGCCCCCTTTGATTTTTTTTCTTTTTTAAATATTTCCCAAATGATGTTGAACTGATCAAAGACATTTTCACAGTATGTTTGATAATATTTTCTCTTCGGGAGAAAGTCTTATTTGTTTTATTTCGAGTAGAATAAAAGCAGTTAAAATTTTTTAAAAACTATTTTTAATTCAAAATTATAGCATTTAAGCTATTTTATTCCGATAGTCTATATACATACATTTATTTATTTATTTTTTTCCCCACAAGCAGTCTCAGTCCTCTTGTTTGGTCTACACCAAGATTTAGATACAACGGTCTTTAATGCAGCCAAGAACAATGAACACACTTCACACTACACATATACATGATACGTTACATATTTAGCCACCTTTCACGCCAAAAAAAAATTCAATGAAGAAAAACGTATAGCAAACATGTATGGAAATTAAGGTTGTGGTACCTTTGTAAGTACATACTCATTTACCATAATTTTAGATGTCGCCAGAGATTATCCCATTTTCTATGTAGTTCTCCCTCATTGTTCAATCTCTCCAGTATACACTCATACAACGCAATTTCGATAATCCCATAAATCCACTCTTTCACTTCTGGCATTCTGAGATACTTCAAATTAAGTAGTATCATCCTTGCAGCTGTAATGCATCCAATCTTGAGAAGAATAAAGGATTTTTTACCTATATTAGGTAACAATCTTCAATGTTCATTAAAATAAACCACACTAACAGGTCTCGTTTCTGCCAAATTTGAATAATAAACTTCGATGTTTTCTGCCACTTTATTTTCCACAGTTTAAAAAAATCAATGTTTTCCATATGAATACAGCTATTGGTTATCTTGATAGGCCAACATGTCTTTTATGCATCCTTCACAACTGATTCTGAAATGACCTTTTTTTTCCCATTTTAAAACAGTTACTTGATGCGATTCAAAGCTTATAGCGTCAGTTAACTGGTCTTCATTCTTACATGAACCTTCAAAAATCATTCTAATTTAAATGTTCAAGAAATGCTCATTATCACAGTTGAAAACAGAAAACAGTTGTCCCGCAAAATAGTTTTCTCCAGGATTATTTTAATAGAAAGTAACAACAACAAACTAAATCAAGGTCTATCCGTGAAACTACCCATTTATCTTCAATGCAAAAATGAAAAGGTAAAGAAAACTATAAATCAAGCCTCAAAGCTGGTTTATGCTGTAGTATAGGCTAAATGATTGCTATAACTTGAACAGTTTAATTTAGATGCTTAACAAGTGTACAGTGGGCTGTAATCGCACAAGTGGGTGAAATAACTGATCTTCTGAACCTGACCCTTCACCTATGATTGGAGTTGTGGAAACTGTGGGCGAGGAGAGCGGACCAGAGGTCAGCCACTGTTGCAACACAAGGAGCGTCGCACCAACAACGGGGGCAGAGATCATTCGGGAACAGTCTTCGCAACAGCTGGCAAATGACAAAACTTCAAAGTGACATATTAGAGAATGCTACAGTTTTCTTATGAAGCCAGGTTTGCATCATAAAAGCTAAAGCTTAGCTTTGAGCACAGATGGGTTTTTCAAAACGTTTTGCGGCGGCTCGCATGCTGAACTTGAAACAAAACCGCAGGAACGACTTGGCATCTGAGTCAGCAGCCCTCGCCGCCCCCAGATTAATGCAACGCTGCTGGGATCACAACCACTTCACACACTGGCAGGCTGAAAAAGGGGGGAAGACAGTGTCCCTGCTACATCTGGTCCCTCTGCATTCCGCGCTAATGGAGAAAAGATTCATAGGCCACTTCATACGCCTGCATCCCAACCACTTCAGAGTGGCAGAACGAGAAGTAATAGAGGAAAAAGTGAGGGAGGGGAATCTGGAGAGACAGGGGAAAAAAGAGGAAGGGAGTAGGGTGAAGTAAAAAAAAAAAAAAAAAAAAAATAGACGGAGATAATATGTCTTCCCAACAGCTGGTCTCAGACACATTCCAGAGTGATGGAAAGCAACTCAATTCCAGCACAGCAGGTCAAAATTCTCGAGGTGAGCACACGCACGCACACGCACGCACATGCACACACGCACACACACACACACACACACACACAGTTTGGAAAAAGGAAAACAGGTCACTTTACAGATCTGCCTGCTCAGAGCACTGAATCCACAAACGCTCTCTGGAGTACACGGACATCACATCAAACCATGCGTCAGAGCCAACAAACGTTATTCTGTTACTCTGTAAAAAATCTGACTAAACGCTATACATCAGAGCCAGATTTACATTTCAGCTATGAACGCATAACTCCCCGAGGGGGGAAACTGTGAACAATTCTTTTGCTCAGTTTTGGGGAGAGGAAAAACAGACTTGTTATTTGATGTATCTACATTGCTTTAGGCCATTCGGTTATTAGATTTGAGCAGGTGCGCTGCTTGAAATTTAATTTCTCCTTAATTCCATTCCCAGAGTAAAGCAACGGTTCACTCGTGACGACCCAGCATGAGGCCTAGGCCACACGTCCTGAAAAACAGTTGGTATTTATCAAGGTTCAAGCCAGAATCACTTTCCAGTGCAAATATGAGCAGAGATCCACCATCTCTGGCTCACAGAGGGGTGGACGTTTCCTGAGGTAAAGATATCATCTGTTGCTGGGCATGAAAACATTGGCTAAAGATTGCATGCTTTTCAAAATAAACAGCCCTCAGTGCTGCATGCATTATTAAATGTGCACCCAAAAACCATGCAGTCAAGAAAATGTTTTTTTTTTCTTTCCAAAAGAAGCAATTCTTGCTGACATTCAATAACAAACAGATCTATCTATCTATCTATCTATCTATCTATCTATCTATCTATCTATCTATCTATCTATCTATCTATCTATCTATCTATCTATCTATCTATCTATCTATCTATCTATCTATCTATCGCACTGTTTTTTGCTTTTAAAATATAAAGTTTAGGAGTTTTTTGTACATGAGAAGCAAGCAACTGTTGTTATGATTGAATCATTAAACTACAGTATCAAATCAAACACAAACTATTTAATTTAGAAATGAAACATGGCAGATTTTCTCTGGAACTTTGTTCCAATTGTTACAGGAAAATGTTGCATTTTTGATACATCAAAAATATAAAAAAATAGAATAAAACAGATTTGATATTCAAGAGTTCACAATTGCTAGACATTATTAGGAGGTTTGGCATGCTGTCCCAGAAGAGAACCCTGAGCTCGGAGATAATTGGGCCCAGGGCTCCCGCCTGGTTAGTTAGCATATAAGGGAGTCAGAGATCAGGTAGGTCTCGAGAGCTCACCCTGAAAAAGGAGGAAAAGTTGGAGATGGGGTGGAAGAGGGGATTTTTCCAAATTGAAGATAAGGTAGTATGGTGAAATCTGTCTATTTATAGTCTATCTATAGGCTTGAATTGATCTGATCGGATTATTGCCGATTACGAATGAGAGACCAGCTATGATCAATTGCATCATGTACTCCTCTCAAAATTAGTTTGTAAAATTTCATTAAGAAACCAAATATTAAAATCATTGATATCCCTAACTGTACATTAACATTTTTAGTTCAATTGAATTTTTATTTAGTTAAAATTTTACCTAAACTGCACTTTTTTTCTAATGTTTTCAATATTTTATACATACATACACATACACGCGCACACACACTAAACTCCAATATAATAAACTATTTATCTTTTAGTAAATCCATCACATGAAAGAAAACCAGGCTTGTCAGGCGAGTCTTCAAAGATCAAGAGGACATCTTACCAGATAATGACTGTGGATCTGCTCCTGGTCTGTGGTTGACCAGCTCATACTGGAAGGCTGTGATTTTTCGGCTGATGTCCCTTTGAGGCACAGCTTCGATGAAGAGCGCCCCATCATGGATGTTGAAGCAGTGCACTTTCCCCTCGGCCTGATCCCCTTCGCTGAGGAGCAGTCGCAATTTTCCCAGTCTGTCAAGGTAGATGTGGGTCCCGCTGGACTCCTTGGAGGGTTTGATGCAGACGGAGAGAAGAGACGCTGCAGGGGACAGCGTGTTTGGCCGCAAGTTGACGATGATTGCGCCAGTGGGGTACAGCCACTCCAGGAACCCCTGGGCGCAGCGGAGATACACCTGCTCCACATCCCGAGTGTGTCCCTCATGGGTCAGTCCACTGCAAGAAGATGGAGACAAGACAAGAGGTATGAGGTCCAGGCATGGGATGATAAGTGGTTTCAAGGTTGACCGTGGTTTGGAAACAAAGGTTTTAAATCTGCAAAAATCCCACAGTTCCGATGGTATATGCAAGTTTTTTAATGTGCTTTTACAACTATTTTATTTAGTTTATTCAGGCATCTTCAGCAGCAAAGGACCCTAACACATCAAAAGCTACCAATCAGCTAATAAAATTGCACAAATAAATCTGTGTTTTTGAAACTAATGTAGATAGCAGAAGACAATGAGTTTTTTTAATTATTAAGCCTGACATATTTACAGTTTTTAAATGTTTCTTAAAATAAAATATATTGTGTTAAATGAAAAAAAAAAGGTTTCTCTTTCTAGCCAGACATTTAAAAAACATATTTTAGAGCCATAATCACAATTCCCTGATAATTTTATCCATAGTTATCATACTGTCAGAAACTTGTACTGGCCCATGCCTTGGTCTGCTACAAAACTGACAGTATTTTACATGGCGGAGTCCTAAACTAAACCTCTCAAGGGACTGAACTGAAACACTTCACATAAAACACATTGAAGACTCAAATTCACTCGAAAACATTAGCATTTAGCTAATAATATCCTAATAATTGTCTTAAACATTTCTAATAAGCATACAACTACACTACATACAAGCATTGTACAGTATATTTTAGACAGGCTGTACTTTTTATCAGTGAGATGATGGGCAAGATAATTCCAATATAAAAGACAGACTAGAACATTCATTAAATCAGCACTAACAAGCACTTATTTTGCACAATATATCCTCTTAAATTTTCACAAACAAATGTATTTTAGACTTTGAAACAAATGCAGAGCTGCAAATTATTTTGAGAAGCATATTTACTAATTGTCTGCGAAATTGTGTGGGGGAAATTCAGGAATAAACAAAAAATATCTGGGGGACAAAATAAACTATAAATCATGACAAAATGTACATTTCAGACAGCATTGTGTTCAAAATTAAATAGATTTTTTAAAGTTAGCACAGAATAAAGTCTTGTGAACAATTTATCTTATATTATAAGCATATTCCATTTTTATTAACATTTTTTTAAGTCATTCGTTTTTTAATCCATGTAAAATTGTGGTTTAAAACTCCTGCTTCCATAGTTGAGAGCAACACCCATACCTCAAAGTCCAACACTAATAAATGATAAATACTGCCAACTTCTGCCTCATATTGATCATCTGTTAAACTCTGACATAAAACACAGCATGGAGGAAAAAGTTTAGTTCTGTTTCATTGCAGCTTGAATCAAAATGAAGCAAACAATAAAAGTCCAGCACTTAAGTGATCTGATAAATCAAGCAATGTCAATTTTACATGAAACACAGTAAATATGACAAAAATTATGACATTCTTAGTTCAAGCTTACATGACAAGTCTGTACTAAAATAGTTTCATAAGGGTTTGCCTTTATTTGAAAGGTTCTGAATACAGAAGACACTGAGTGAAGCATCCACGTTTACGAAGATCAATGAAAATGCCTCAAAACAGTGCATTATGAATTAAAGGCCAGTAGTTGGCAATGCCACATTTTAAAGAAACCAAGTTTGCACAATATATCTGACTATATCGATATCTGCCCATAAATTATATTTTTAATGTTATCATTATTAGTCTTTTAGCAAAATTAGGCCAATATCTTTAAACTGATAAATGTATTATTTCTGTTGGTTGAACAATTTCACAAGCTTTCTAGCTGACAAAAAAATTAAATAAATATGTTTATTGGCTAATATAATGGCTATCTGCCTCCAAACATAAGTTATCGGTCAAAAATTCCATATTGGTGGGTCACTAAAAGAAACCCTTGTACACACACAGACTGAACACTTATTCATCTCACATTTTAGTTGAGAAATCTGTTAAAAATCAGAAAAGCTGAGGAATAATGTGTAAAAACAAAACAAAAAAAATATCAGTCTACGACTGGTAAAAAGATCCATTTTATTTGATTAGACTCTTTTTAGTGCCAGATGAAATATGTAATCCAAGATTCTACTTTGTCCTCCATTCTGGAGGAATTCTGTTCACTGAGTTCAATCATTCTAAATCTGGCTTATCCATGACCCTTCCAAAGTGAGCAAAACTACTCTCTGGAAACAATCACCTTAACATTGATGCCTTAAAATTCTGAAAAGGAAATGATAAGCAGATCTCTGGGTTTAGAAATAAAGCAGTAGGGCTACGCAATATATCAGCATTATTAAACTATTGCAAATGTGCATATTGCAATACACATATATCACAATGGTTTAGAAAAAAATGAGTAAATTAATACAAAAGTATCTTAGAGTGCCTGCATAAAGCACCTCTGAATTGTAGTACATCTAAAAGTGCATCTCTGAAAGCAAGTAAAGTGGACATGCTGTTTTATTTTGCCCGAAATGTGTAATGATTTTATATATGCTAAAATACGACAAAGCAATCAAGCCATGGATTGCGAGAAATAAAGCAGCAATAGCAGCACCACTTAATGTTTGTGTTTTCCTGACTGTTTTTATTTAAGCTAATAAAACTTTACCACTGGAGCAAAGGGGTGGTGATTTGTTTTAGTTTTGTTTACTACGGTTAATGTCTGCTTGTTTCATGGCTGTTCACTTTCAGCAGTTTAACCTAAAAGAGAATGAAACATTGGGGTGTCCATGATAGAAGTCTTCTCACCAAGTTTTCAGAACAACAAATAATATCATGACTTCTAGTTGATTATTTGGTTTTTAAAGTGGCTAATAGGAAGAGCAACGGCCTCTTCATTACGCTTATTTTACCAAAATAAAATATGATCATGCCTTGATTTTTAATTTTTACATTAGGACAAAAGGTCTAACTTTGCGTAAAAGTCTTATCACTTAACAGAAATATTATACAGTATAAAGTCATAGTGCTATGGAAAAAGAATTAATATTGTGTATGACTCCCATGATCTTGGAGGACTGCATCCATACATCTCTGCCATTCCAAATGACTTTATTAATATGTTATTTAAGTCATTGCAAAGAAAGTGTTCCAGAAGGAATCCCAGAGTTCATCAAGGTTTTTTGGATTCATCTTCAATGCCTTCTTCATCTTACTCCTGACATGTTTAATAATGTTTATGGCCGGTGACTGGCCTGGCCAATACTGGAGCACCTTGACCTACTTAGCTTTCAGGAACTTTGATGTGGAGGCTGAAGTATGAGAAGAAGCGCTATCCTGCTGATCCTTTGCCCTCTCCTGTGGTTTGTAATGAAATGCACAAATGTCTTGATACCTCAGGCTGTTGATGTGGACATTCACTCTGCAGATCTCTCGCATGCCCTCAAACTGAATGTAACCCCAAACTATGATTTTTCCTTCACCAAACTTGACTGATTTCTTTGAGAATCTTGGGTCAATGCAGGTTCCAGTAGGACTTCTGCAGTATTTCTGATGATTGGGATGCAGTTCAACAGCTGGTTCATCTGAAAAATGATCAACTTTTCCAAATGATCAACTAGAAGTCAAGTTATTATTTGTTGCTCTTACAACTGGGATTGACGACAAGACTTCTGTCAGGTAGTGTATTCTGTTACATAATCCTATCACATATAACATTTAGCATGCTAATACATATTGCATTTTTCTTTAACATTGCACAGCCTTACAAATCAGCCATCAAACACAATTCTAATATTAAACTGCTCAAATTTATTTACTTTTTTTGGAAGGAAAACCAGAAGTTGACTTATTTCAGTTTGCTGAAGTGCTTCCAACTGAAACGGAATATTAAGTGGGGTGGAGCTTTCTTTTTGCACATCATTCCCTCATGGCAAACTAACAAAAAGGGGTGTGGTTAAGAAAATCATAGCTGCAATGTCAAAAGAGAAGGACCGCCACTTCAAATGTGGAAGCAAATGGTCAGACTTTGATTCAAAATTACCAAAACAAAAACATATTTCAAGGTTTTCAACTTGCACAGATTAATTATTCTCTTTAAAAATAACAATTTGTGCTAGCAACATAGACATTACACATTTTGATTTCACACTGTCTTTAAACACATCAACCCATATTGGTTAGTAGCAAAATTACGGCATCCCACACTCGCACCTAAATAACGTCGGTTGGATCTTTTGTAGGGCTTTACTTCAGTGGTCTTTTATTCTGTGAATCACAGCAAAGGAAACTTCAAACATTAGGGCGATTGTTGTGAACAGTCTGCATCAGACTCGAGTCCAAAAACTGAAGCTCATAGGAAAGAAAGGCTTTTCTCAGAGCAGGAAGAATGAAGTTAATGTCTTTTCAAACAAGGTGTTAAGACCCACGCGCAAGGCTTGCTGCATGACCCGTCACGTGCAGGCATGTGCGCACACACATACACATTAACCGTCTCTCATTTTCCCCCTTCTCTCTCATTTCCAAGGTTTTGGCAAGCTCCAGCCACTGGCATTTTGCCGTGGGCAGGATTTTTGAAACTTAAGTCAATGGTTCCTTGGACACACAGGCCTCTCTGCAGAGACAGTAGCCGAACCCGGAGCATGCAAGTGCAAATGCAGGTCACGCAGCGAACCTCCCCTCGCCTTTCAACTCCTCAAAAAGACGAGGAGCTGCATGTCCGGGCAGCAGTCCTGCCGCTGTCCACCGGCCACACAAAAGGCTCTCTCCACTACTTTTTTAGACATCATCTGCGGTTTCCGCGCCTCAAGTCTGCGGCCCGCTGTCAGTTAGGCAGAAAATGAGCCATCTGCTTCTCAACCCTCCAGCGGTTCTTCAATTAGAGATAAATTAAGGCCTGCTGCAAAAGCAGGGTCCAGATTCAACTCTTCCAAAATGAATGAGGAGGTGAGGAGCAAAACTCCTGTGGAGCCTGGGGTGACACATGTGCAGAGCAGACCCGCAAGCTGCCGTGCCCTCGTTCATAACGGCTCCTCTTTAATTAAGAGCATTTGAAATCCCGCTCGGCCGTAATGAGAGGCTGAACTCAGACCTGGCAAATCAACACCAGATTATGGCTGAACAGTCACTGTATTATTACTGTAAAAAGACTTCACAGAAACCCCAAATGTGTCATGTTTGAGGAATTTTCGATGATGGAATTGAGCCACTGCTGAGGAATAATACCAATGAAGAAATGTGGTGGGGAAATCAGTAGCTTAATATCTTTCAGAACTTTAAGCATGAAGGATGTGGAAGCCATCTTGACCTAATAGGACTCCATACAAAAAAAGCTGCTAGAATTTGTTTTGTTTTTCCATTTATGATGCAGTGCCTGAGTGTGTAGGCAATGGCTCATTCATTTAGTTAAACTGTACTGTATAAAACCAACCCCCCCAAAAAGTAGTATGGTTTGCATATTATATGCGAGTCGTTAACTTGGGTTAGGACAAACCAGTGAGTAAAAATGAAATCACTGCTTCAGACAGCTTCTGAATTCAGGTTAAGCCAGATATGTACAACACAAGATGTTGTATTTTTGTTTTCCAGCACAGTTATCTTACCATCTTTTTTTATTAGGTCAAATATTTGAACATTTCAATATATATTAGCACACATTTAATTGAGAAGCAAAAACAACATAATATTACACCTTCCTTTAGTGACTAAAATACAAGCAAAAAACAAACTAAACTAAAAGTTGTTAGAAAAACTGCTTAGTTCTTTCTTTAAAATATGATGGATTTCCATATCATTCAAGTATAAAATCACTAATAGATTAGTTTTCTAGTGTAAATGAGTATGCTACATAAAATTAAGCTAAATAGAAAGACAAATAAAGAAGATAGTAAATACAAGCTCAACAATATCACTTTACCAAAAAAAAAAAAAAAACTGGCCCTAATACTAAAAGTAGCTAAATATTCCACACCTTAATGCTAAAAATGGTGTTCATAGACTAATAATAATATTAATATATTATTATTATTAATAATAATAATAATAATAATAATAGCATAATATTCATTATCTCTCTTTCTATTCGCTCATTGAATAGTTCAAGGAGTTAAATCTCTATCTTCTTTTTACTAAATGAAACTGCATTTTACTCTAAATGGGTAAAAAAGGATTAATATAGATGTTTAAAGAGCGTCTCACCTGCCCCTCCAGCTGCACTGATCACTTGAGTACTGGGAGCGCGCAATCCGACACAGAAGCACAACCGACAGCAAATACGCCAAGAACGGCGAGAGCATGTTTGTCCGACCGCGGTCTCCTTCTCCCCAAGCGAGATACTATACAACTCTGCGGTGCAGGTGTGAAAGCAAAAGGTCCAGCATCGGTATGTTCTCTACATCGTGTTTTTCTTTAGTATCGCTTCGCTTTCTAGCCCGTTATTTACTCGAAAAGCGCTTCTAAAGCCGAAAGTCCGAGAAGCGCGCTCGTTCGCTCAGTCCATGTCGCGCACACTGAGCAGCAGTGAAGAGCTGAGGAATCCGAGCGCAGAGCCGCTCGCTCAACTTTGAAGATCGCGCACGCGCACTCAACGCCTGTAAATTACTCGAGAGGAGGCGAGTTTCTTTAGCGGTTCTCTGAGCTCGGATTCCTCTGCGCATCATCGCCAGCTGACCGACGCAGGACGCATGCGCATGAGTTCATGTTGAAATATTAACAACTGTCCTCACCCTCACCCAAGTGGTTTAAAAACTTTATGGAATTCTTTATTGTGTTGAACACAAAAGATGTTTTGAAGAAAGCTCAAAACATATAAATATTCAAATTTTATTTGTTAACAAAGGTTAATGATGCAATTTTAGTCCATAAAATGCATGACAAATTTTTTTTATGCAACAATGTTAAGGGAGGAGCATATATTAAATGCTTTTCTATTTTTAGACTTCGAAATCACTTTTATATACATTTTAATCTTTTTCTAGTACCACTTTTCTGAGAGGTTTACTTTTTGCAAACTTACATTTGAATATGTAAAATTTACATATAAATAAAATCTTTGTTATCTTTAAAAAAAAAAAAAAGCCCAAATCACATATTTATAAGATAAGGAAAATGTTTTCAAAATATTATAAGCAATAAAAGTTTCAACATTAATCAAAAATGTTTTGTATATTGGCAAGACCAAAATAAACGAAGAAATAAAGTTTTCTAATTTAATATAAATTTTCCATTGTTGTAGAAATATATATTTTTCAGGATACATTTTATAAAGTAATTTAAGTTATATTTATTTAGCCTTATTTGTAATGGGGGGAAATGAGTTGATGACCATACTTGAGTCCAGTTTTTATTGTTAAAGCTATGTTCCAGTAAAAAACAACACATGGTATCTTCACATATCTTCTTTTAGTATTATAGATCATTTTGTGATTATTAGGCTTAAATCCAGAGAAACAGACAAAGCCGACTGAGGCCTGTTTAGGTTTAGGAGGACAAACTGAAAGAGCTGATGTACATGCACTGATATTGTGCAGCATATCAGGTGATGGTTACATTAATATAATAAATTCTTGTAAAGTAATAGGAATTTAATGTAAATAATGTTCCTTCATTATCAAATAATTTAGTAACTATATCAGACTGCTGTTAAGCCAATAATGAAAGAATAGTGACTTAATTCTATACAAGATATTGGCATTATTCCAAATAAGAAAACTATGTGGGGAGAAGTTGTTTATAAATTAGCCTCCATGACGTAAGCAATTGTTGATATTTTGAGAGTTTGATTAAGTTTTTCAATTTTATAATTACACATTAAAATAATTATATGAGAGAAAATGAAACAGGGGATAATATTCTAGATAGATAAGTTACTTATAAGAAATTCATTATTAGTCAGGGGTTGCCACAGCGGAATGAACCAATTTATCCAGCGTATGTTTTATGTAGTGGATGGTCATGTCTTTTCACTGTGGGGGAAACCCGAGCACCCTGCGGAAACCCACGAACTCGGGGAGAACATGCAGCTTCCACACAGATATGCTGACTTACCCAGTCGAGGCTTGAACCAGTGACCTTCTTGCTGTGAAGCGATCATGCTACCCTCTGCACCACCGTGATGCCCCTTATAATTCATTCATTCGTTCATTCATCCTTTCATTCATTCATTTTCTTTTTGACTTAGTTCCTTTATTAATCCGGGGTCCCCACAGCGGAATGAACCGCCTTATTTCCAGCACATGTTTTACGAAGCGGATGCCCTTCCAGCTGCAACCCATCTCTGGGAACTTATTGTCTTATGCAAGTAATTTTAAATTACTATTTAGGGAATTAAAATGAATAAAATTTAGACCATCTTTTTCTATTATGCATTCAGCAATACTGATGTTTTAATATAATAAATTTAGTTTTTCCAAATAAACTGTCAACTTATAAAGAAAAAAAAAAGTATAAAAGTCAATGGTTACATGTTTATAATTTTTTAACTCGAAAACGTGCCTTGGACTGATTTATTCTGATAAATCCCTTACCCAAAGAGCACGACACATTATTTAAGCAACTCCTGAGCACTTTCTGTTTTGTGTTTAACAGAATAAACATAACCAAACTGGATTGGGACATGAAAGGGAATGATGATAGAATTCTCAATTATGTGCAAACTATTTAACAAACTACCTTTAACTTACCTACTTACTTGCACTGAAGTGCTGAAACCTACATCCTAAAGTTTTTACTCTCTATCAGGTCAGAGGGTTTATTTATAATTATTTTATCACAATAAAGGACTGCTTTCAAATTTTTGGCTTTCTCAGGAGCAGACGTTGCCATCATTGGACTTAAACTTAGAGAGCAGCAAATAGAGTACATCAAATAATTTGTGTTACAATGCTAGTTGCTCAAATAATAAAAGAAAAAACTAAACAATAGTGTCATCAAGACTTTCAAAAAAGGGGAAACAATGAGTGAGACTATTAACGCCAGTCAGAAGAGAGAACCAAGTCAAATTTACTGTCCCACCCATAAACACTGCATTAGAAGCCAGAGGTCCAAAGTTTGCCCCATACAAGAGCTCATTTGCTTTATTTTGACTGCTATGCCATCATAAACTGTGAAAATAACCTATCAAAAAAGGCTTTAAAACCAACTAAAATCCTCTGTTGGCTGTCACTTCAGTGTGACTTCTGCTAATCAGTAATGGCCAATACTAACAAATATTGTTCATGAGTTCAACATCTAGCTGTACAAGAAAACAGACAATCTGACCTAAGTGAAGTAATAGTTACAATAAACAGATTTTTTTTTAATGATATTTATGTAATTTGTATTTTAAATATACATTTTTTCCCCCAACATTTCTTTATTTTAAATGTTGAGGAAATACTTTATGCATCAAAAAGTGCTCATTATTAAGTGTTAAAAAGTTTTATTTTAATCTCCTAATAAAAATATAATTAAGCGAATAACTTCATAAAGTCTGAACGCCTCACATAATTGGTACGTTTTTTTTTTTTGTTTTTTTCTAATTTGATGCACACATCATGCAATACATACGTGAATACATATGAATATACACAAGTTTTTTTATTTTTTTATTTTTAATCTAAATATGAAAAACTGAAACTAGCCAAATTTAAACCAAATATAGAGCCTAATAATGTGACCGATGTAACATTGAGCCAGCTACTCTATCTCATATGTTTTGGGCTTGTTCAAAATTAAAGAAAATCTGGCAGCTAATATTTAAATTTCTCTCGGACACATTAAATACCTATATTGAACCTGAGGCCATAATTTCAATTTTTGGGATCACACCACAGTCCTTATGTTTTAACAAAAGCAAGATAAATGTGATTGCCTTTGCTACGCATTTAGCTAGAAGTTTAATATTGCTGAAATGGAAGGAAAAACTTTCTCCAACCTTTAAGTAATGGCTTATGGAACCCCTACACCACCTGACTTAAGAAAAAAAAAATGATATAGTGTAAGAGGCCGTACTGATATGTTTTTTTCTAATCTGGCAACCTGTTTTAGATCACATAAAGAAAATGGACCCACCAGTCAGTTTAAAAGAGTAGAACCTTTCCTTGTTTTTTTTTTTTAAGTTTTAATTTTTAATAAGAACCTACATGTATATGTGTTCAACAGGTTTTGTTTGTTGTGTAAAACAAAAAAGAAAAAGTTGCTGAACCTGACACCTGTCAAAAGCATTTAATCAACGTTTTAAACGTTTCTAATACTTGGATTTAAGATCCAAACAGACCTGTGTGTTATTTATTTTAAAAAAAGATCAATGAAATTAATGGTAACACTTTTTAATTTGATGGTTCATTTGAGAATTAGTAGACTGTCTGCTTAATATTTGTTGATACTGTTTCTTCAACAGACATTTAACACACTATAAGAAACTTTGCAAGTACATGTCAACTTACACTAACCCTAACCAAACAGTCTACTTATAATCTAATGAGAATTATTTGAAAATTTAAATTTAACAAATGGGCCATCAAAATAAAGTGTGACCAAAATAATTACATTGAATGCCCTCTTTAACATGACTTGCAGCAATGCTACAAGCTTTACACATCTGTACACATTTTAAATAAAAGTAAATTATTATCATTTAACTGTATCTACTTGACAGATCTTATTCTCCATCCAATTCAGAAGTTAACCTTTTTGATTTTGAATGTAATGTAGGGCACACCTTTTGTAAAGCTGCTTTAGAACAAAAATCATAGTGAAAAGCTCTATAACATTAATCTTCAAAGCAATTGAATTAGTAGGTGTTTTTGCTAATCTTCTCTGTAGACCAGAGGTCTCCAACACTGTTTCTGGAGATTTCAGTTGTTACCCTGATCAAACACACCTGTCTGTAATTATCAAGTACTGTTTCAGGTGTTAATTAATTGCTTCAGCTGTGTTCTCTGCAGAAAGGCAGATCTTCATGAATAGGGTTAAGGATGTCCTGGAAGGAGACTAAGCTGTTTTAAGCTGTGGCTGAGCCATAGGTGGACGTTCATAGTGGCGTTGGTGCCACTTCTGCATTGTTTGGAATGACTGTCCTGTTGAAAATGCTCTGGACTGGGTTTTCATTATGGTAAGGATATCTCTGTCTTCTGCTTCACGGTAAACTCTGATTGCTCCACTGGTGTTTCATCTTCAGGATGGTAGATGATGAGCGCCACATTGGTTTCCAGCAGACATGATGCTTGGATTTGAGGAATTGATAAATATAGAGAATTTAGTTTGTCACAGTCTAAAAGATTGGTCAAAGCTCCAACTGAACCATCTCAAAGAGTATTCAGCAAAACTAAAATGATTCTGACATAAATTGCACAGAAGATGTATTACAAACAGTGCAGTGTGGATTGATGTGGCAAAAAATAAGGCTGCAACATGAAATTGGGTATGGAGGAGTCATTACAACAACAACTATTATTATTATTACTACTACTAAGGTAACACTTTACAATATGGTTGTATTAGTTAATGTTAGTAATAATGCATTTGCTAACATAAACAAACA